ACAGTATCCTTCACGAGTTGTTCTCGTGTTTCATGTTTGATGCATGTAAAAATGCTTGAATTAAAGCAGCATGAATGCAAATGTAGATGTCAAATGCAAATGCAGCATGTGTTAATTCCATAAGTGACAACTATAGAACAACCTTTATTTAGAAAACAAGGTTTTATTACACCATGTAGTCAAAATAAAATTGTGATTCTTCATTTATTCATTTCCTTGAGCTGTATTCTTCATGGAATCTAATATTGCACCCAAAGTTTTCGGTGTATTTTTCACATTTGTTGACACTTGATATCCTTAAATTATTTATGGTTGAATCTTGAGATCTTCATTTTACTTCCAATGTGAAGTGGTCTTCATTTCTTCGTGAAGAGTCTTCTCGACCTTGATATGACTGAATCTATCTCTTAAGGAAACATTTTGGCCTTTGCACCTTCAATGGAAGTCTTCAATCAGCTTCAAATTTCTTTATTCATCAGATGTCTTTCTTCATGGGTCATCATAAATCTTTGGATCACTTGATTTTGACTACATGGCTAAGAATTTCTTGTCTCATTATGAACAATCTTTTTATTTAGTCAATCACTTGTAAATTAACACCTTTGGATGATATGAAGATGCAAGTGCAAGAAAATAAAATCAAAATAAAATAAACACAGGACAAAAATGGGTTAGCACACATGAGATAAACAACAAGATAGTAAGTAAGTACTATAAGTATCAAATACAACCTACCCTCACAGGTTGACTACCTATACATGGTATGATTAATCCTACCCAAACATGTTTTCTACCAACATGCTTTGTTATTCACAAAAAATCCTAACCGCATGATATTTACTTCGCAAGTTTCGCGCAGAAATATAAACCTAACCACATTCTCTTCTAATTCTCATGCTTTTTTGTAAAATAAATAAATAAATCTGAGGAAATGTTAGAGTAAATTTCCCTTTTGTGACTTTTGAAGAACCACAAATAGAATTTCGATACAAAAGGGTAGAGTTTCGGTACTACTAAAAGGGTCCTCAAATTATCCTTTGTTGGTGCCCTTTGGGCCTGCCAGACCCTCGATCCTTACCCATTATAGGATTAAACGGGTCGAGTTCAATTCGAGAGAATGCATTTCCCCATGTCCAAGCAAGGAAACTCAATGTTTCGCTCGTAAACACGAGGCATATGCACCCCAGAGGTTACTTGCTAAAGCCCATGCGGAGAAAAATAATTTTTCTCATGTAAGCGTAGCGTTCACCCCTACCTATCGAGACAGAACAAAGTTAGAAGGCTATAAATATTCATGGTTTTAGCGTGTGTGAGGGGAAACTCACAATCCTTCGTCTCGACCCAAAAATAATCAGACTAAAAAAAGGTCAGAAATCTGAAATAATGGAAATCACACATTTGTACAACTAATAAATAAATAAAAGATGTATGATGAGATGCAATGCCAACAAAATATAAGGATCAAAATTTAAATATCATTCAAATTTACCGTTTTTAACTAAAGAGATAACGTATAATCGATTACGGCCTGACCCTCTGATGTCCACAACAGAGTCGCCAAGCTGTCGAAACGGTTCGTAAGCCTTTTAAGGCTATGACGAGGAGTGATCCAACTTAATTTTAGAAAAAAATTAGGTTTTAAAAAAATGAATAAATAAATAAATAAATAAATTTGGAGTTGCCATCGACCTTTGGGTTAGGTAGGTTGAATACCTAAAAAATATCCTTTAAAATAATTTTAAGAAAAATAATTTTAAAAGACAAAAACTGATATGTGTTTAACCATAAAATCATTTTGAAAAGGGTTCGGGAGTTGATTATGCGTTGGGAAGGATTAACACCCCCACAACGCCCAAAATTGGTACCTAAGTGATTACACGTTATCTTAATATTTAAATTGGAAAATTTGAATATACATTTAAATTACGATCCTATTAGAACAAAAATTAAAAGGGGTATTATTTTGTACGAACAATTCTCGAAAATACCTTCCTTGTTAGTTAAGAGGCATTTCTATGGATTCTTCATACAAAATAATATTGCCCTAATGTTTAATGAACTACATATATTAAATAAAAATAAAAAAACATCATTGGGGTGTAAAAACATATCTTATATTATTTTGTACGAAAAAATATCGGAAACGAACTTCTGTTTAGTTAAGGTACGTTTCCATAAATTCCTCGTACAACATGTTATCTCAATACAATGTGCCCTTATAATGAAGAGAAACGAACAAGAAATTACATAACCTACCATAAATATAGGAAGCTTAAATGCAAATAATAGAAATCTAAACAAATATGTAAATGGATAACATGAGTGAAAAGATAGTAACTCTCAGGGTTAAACTGTAAAACCAATAAAAATAAACAAAAATATCACAAAATCTAGGCACTGGAATTGTAATAAGACCATCATCAACATTCAAAACTAAAATGGAAATTATTAAAATAGGACACTCGAAATAAAAGGATTCAAAATTCCATTTAGTGACTAAATTGAACAGTTACAAAGTCGGGAGGACTGCAGAAATGGTTTTCCCATGAACCTAAAACGCACAACTCCCCTCCCAAAACGACGTCGTCCAGGCCACAATATATATATCCAAAAAACTGGCCTAAAATGGCCAAGCATCCCATTTCATCAAAACTCTCTTTCTAAAGAGAGAAACTCTCTGCCTTTTCTCTTTCTCTCCTCACCGGGGGAGACCGACAGCCTCCGACCACCACTAATCGGAGCACTCCACCTCCACACACGACGGTCGAAGATATAGAAAACTGACTCAAAACAATGCTCGAACTTCCCTAAACCCAAAAACAAGCACCACTTCACCTAAAACTACCTCTATCGTCCTAGATCTAAAAAATCGAAGGGGTTACCTTTCGTTTTCAACGGCCCCTCCTTTCTCTCTAGTGGTGAGAAGCACGGCTTCGGGTGGTAAGTCTCTCTTTCTTCTCTTTCTGTTTTCTTTTGTCTTTCTTTCTAGAAAAAAAGCTCTTAGTTCTCCCAAATCTCTTCCTTTTTCTTTTTAGGTGTTGATGGTTTTCTTTCTGTTTCCCCTTCTTTTTTGATGGATCTGTCTCTTGCATGTTATATGGAGGGAGAAATCTCTACTTTTTGTGTTTCTTTTGGCTTTTTTCCTCATAGGGGAACAAGCGACTGAGGACAACACCCTGATGGATTCGGTTGTAACGGCAACAGCGCAGAGGGGTAAAGATTTTAACCCCAATGCCTTTTGTCTTCTTTCGGTGACCAACGTAGAATCTTGTAGCGATTGAATACCTTGGGAACTAGTGAGTCAAGTTTGATCAGACGCGTGTAGACTGATCAACGTCCGTGTGTATCTTGTCGAGCGTGCATCTCAAATGATGGACAAATCAACGGTTGGTATCCTCTGGTCAAAGTTGGGTTGTTAGATCGTTGATCGGATCCAACGGTTCAGATGCCTTGACGGTGACGACTGATGCACATTAGGGTAAAACCCTAACTGAGTGTTCAATCTAGATCGTTGTATCTCAACAGATCCAACGATAGATAGGCGGCTGCGCATGGATGCTTGATGTAACTAGGGTTTCCTAAACCCTAAACTTTCTATGTTGTTATTATGGGTTCGGGCCTGATTTAGCTGGGCCACTTGGGGTTTGAGCCCCTTACTTTGGGCTGCTTGTAAAATTTTTGTTTTTGGACCTGTAATAGTTAAATTATATTTTAGTACATTATATATATATATTCGTATAATGATAATAATATACATATTACTATATAACATGCAAACCACACACATAATTTAAATAATTAACCTAATTTTCAAACTAATTAATAATATATAATTATATATGAACCCAATCGAAGCTCGAAAGGAATCCTCTGACAAAATGATCATCTACAGGTTATACTTGGGTTACACAGATATCAGGAACGTACACCTAACTAAAATGATCATCTAGAGTATTTCAGATGAAATCTAGGTCACATAACATCATAACATCATCTAACTAGTATTATGTAGCGGTCCTATTTTTCCAACACATCAAATGCTAGCTTGAATGAATTTTCAAAGCCAGTTGAAATGGGTGCACTGCCGACAATTTTCAAACCGAGCCCATGGTCTTTTCATTTTTCAAGCAAAAGCTCTTTACATTTATAATTCCGAGTTGGGTGTTGGCGATGTATACGGGGAACTAAAGTGTGGGAACCCACACTTGAAGTTCCAATATTTGCCTTCAATAATTCATTTAGAATGTTTGGGTGGCCTCCTTTTATCTGTTTATAGATCTTGTACAATCTGTCAAGGTGCGTACTAGATTCCAAGACATTAAAACCCCGTCTTAAACAAAAACCAGACCAAATACTCACTCATAATCTTTAATTTTTCATGGTCTACTGACACGAGGGACCCTTCGATTCTCAAGGGCAATGACCTCATGATTGTTAGCCATCTAATCATAAAATTTATCTAGTATTTAATCCAATGCGTTCGAATGATAAAATGTATCTATTTATGATTAATGTGTGACAGTGATGTCAATTGTACAAAAAAATCAATCTTACAACTTTGGGATAAGGTTTTAGACGGTCCCATAATGAATAACACCATAATTTTATTGATCGAAGTCGTTTTATTGAAATTTCGTCTACAATTCTATGGTCTAATGAAGTTGCTTGGGTGGTTTCATGGATGAACGAACAGGCAATTAAAAGGGATAAGAAGAAAAAAAAATTCTCTAACATCAATTATAAATATAAATAAAATCAATTACATTATGAACAAGTACAGATTTTACTCCTATATCACATATAACGATCACCACACATTTCCATGATTTAAGGAGGCAGACCCTTCAGTAAAACCTCTTTAATACTCACTTACTAGAAGCTAGCAGAATCAATTATTCTTAATGCATGTACATACACATAATTCATGATAAATCTATATATACATATATTTATATATGTATATGTAATTTTAAGATCCTTAAACAGTTGTTGACAAGGGGATTAGTAGTGACTTGATGAAGATGTTTGTGCTTAGCCTTTGCCTGGGTAAAAAGAGTGACTGTAACATGCTTGAGAAGTCATTTTTGTAGTGTCATCATGTTGCCTTCTACTGCTAGTCTTTCTGTTGAATGAACTGTATCTGCCTTGCCTGTTCTTCCTTCTGGGTTTTGATGCCTTTGGGATGAAAACTCCAGTGCCTTTGCTTTCTCTTCTGCAGATTTGCTCATGGACATATGGAGATTGTGTTACTGGATAATTTGCCCCGGAGAATGTCTGCAATTTTTTTGACAAATACAAACTCAAACACCAGAAATTGAAGGAGATAACATGTTATTTGATGTGAACAAAGGTTTAAAAACCTGGAAAGAAACTGAAGGACACCTTGAAACTTGGTCTTCATCTCCACCATCATCATCGTCCATGATTAGAAGAGAGATCTGTCTGCTTAAGTCTGCAAAAAACAGATCATCTTCAAGCTCAACAGCCAACTCCATTAAAGCTTGTGGGCAAGAGTAAGTTTTTGAGTGTGGGTTTTATTTAGGCAAGATACCAAGAAAGGAATCCTTTAGTTTCTAAATATAAATAAAAGGAAGTGGAAAATGAGATGGGGTTAAGTAGGGGAAGAAATGCATGTGGGATGATGGGGGTCTTAAATGGTAGTTAGCCAATCTGGCTCAAGTCCCCACAAGAATCATGAAGCAATGTTATGATGTTATCCAGTAGGAAGAAAGGGATAAAGGAGTAGCAGCAAGCAAAGTGATAATATCCTTGGGTGTAACATGGTCAGCCCCACTTCCTTTATCCTTTTCAACATCTCTAAGGAAACAAGGAATGGCTCGATTCATAGTCCCCCAATCTCTCAAAATGCACTACTTGCACCCCAATTGAATGAACCCTCCACACTTAACTGGTATCTAGCTAGCTAGATACTGCTGTCTTTTTTTGTCAAGGCTTAAGCAACAGGACAGTCAAACTTGGTCATCACAGGATCTAAGAACTTGTTGTGGGGCATATGGCTTTAATTTCTTTAGAATTTGAGGGTTGAGACTTGTTTTTTCCAGCTCCACACAATTTGAAGGGTGGTGTGTCAATGCAAGTAGCTTGTTGTAGTGTACAGGTTCATCATTCAAGTTGCCAGTAAATTGTTTTTAAAGTCTTGACATTGATTGATCATTTCATTGTCATCTTCTTCTTTTTTAATCTTACTTGCATAATTTGTATTTTCAATCGATTATAGAATCATTTGAAACGAAGATGATGGGTTAGCTTGAGTTTGAAGAGTTTGTTTAAGAAGTGTAATGAGAATATAATACAAGAACTTTTAAATAATTCGACATTGTTTTAGTGAGAAAACATAGTTTCAGAACCTTTAAATAATTTTAAATTGTTGTAACCAAAGGGTAAATATACATTTTGGTACTTCAATTTATCTTTAACGTTTAATTTGATATTTAACTCTTCTTTTATTCGGTTAAGTACTTGAACTTGAGTTTAAAGTTCAATTTAGTATGCAAAGTTGTTTTGCTCTAAGTAGGTATACGAAGTTGAATTTTTTTTTCCAAATTGATATTAACAGTAAATGCTTTATTCCAATCATAAAGTTAAATTCAAGTATAAAAGAAAAAAGTCAAGTTCAAGTATCTAATTGGACCAATAGAAAACTAAGGTAGCAAATTGAATATTAAGACTAAGTCCAAATATTTAATGGAATAATAAAAAAAAAGCTTCCGTGCAATATGCATATTTAACCTAAAAAAGTGTAGTAAGAACACCCCAAGTTGAAGGGAGCTTTGTTGGAAGGTCTTCAATACTAAAACTTCTAATAGTGTACTACAATTTCTATGAGAATATTATTAGCTATTTTAGTCTGTTTATAAATTTTTTTATAATTATTAAAAATTTTATACTTCGATACATCTTTCGATAAATCATATAAATTATGGTAGGTGTTACATATTTTAACAAAGCGTTGAACATTTTTTGGTAAATAATTAAATTTTAGATGGATAACATATTTGGTCAATTAAAATCTCATTAGTATTAATTAAACATAAAATATCGATCGAACGTTCATCATACATTGTAATATAATACTAAATTTCTTATGGATACTTAACAATAAATGACCATAAGATAAATAAAATCTAAAGTTAGACATAATTTAAAAAAATCAAACTGAAAGCACAAAAATAAGTAAATAATCAAATAGATAATTTATTCTTAAAATTTGTTTAGACTTGAGATAGTTCATAGTATTGCATCCGCGAGAACTCTTCATCAAACTTAATATGGAAAGGAAGTACTTGAGTTACGAGTGTGATTTTGGTCCACACGCTTTGCTGGGTGGCTATTGGCTAAGGGACATGCCCAACCCCCATCGGCAGAATATTATGGACCTTGGACCCTTCTTCAAAACCCTTTTTTTTCAACCATAATAATGAATTTACCATCATTCTTTTTTGAATTTTTGTTTATTTATAGCATTGAATGTAGTTAATCAACCTTTTGAAGTCGGTGGTGGTGACTTGGTGGCAAGCAAATGTGAATTATTTCCTTCTATTTTCCGTACCCGCAGCAGCATACATTTATAACTGGGTTTTCTGCTGCAAAAAGATTGCTTTTTTGGATTTGGTTAATTGAACCATGCAGGGAAGCAAAAGTAAAGTTGACACTTCAAACTTTATTATTCCAACTTACGAAAAACCCAAGATGTTGAAGGGCTAGTTCTGAGTTTGAAAGTTAGGTCCTTTAATAATAAAAAAGAGAGTAAAGAAAATGCACATTTGTACCTAATAGTACTTTTATAGGAACATAACTCTTAGTATTTTCCGAAGATGTGTTGGAATTAGTATATTGTAGGAAGGTGTGAGCACCATTTTTTGGAAAATGTTGGTTATTTATAGAAAAATTTAAGGGAAAATCACACAGAGATCCCCCAATGTTTCTTGTGTTTTTGCAAAATAGCCACTAGAAGGTACTGTTTTCATAATTTTTCCATTTCTGTTTGTGTTTTGTATTTTTTGGTATATTTATTGTTCGGTCCCCGTAACCCACATGTGTTTTTATAAAATGATCACTTGTAAGGACTTTTTTGTGATTTACCCATTTTATGCATGATATTTATTTTTAGGGTTATTTTTCTTTTAGTCCTTGTATGTTTAGCATTTTTTTATTTTAGTCCCTAATCTATTTATTTTTATTTTGTTTCGATTTAGCCTTCAAATTTTGATTTGTTTTAATTTTGCCCTTGTTGCATGCCAAATTTATTTTTTTTGAGCTTGGTAATTTAATATTTTTGCGATTAGGTCCTTATTTTATGTTTTTTATTTTTATTTTATGTTTTTTACCCTTTTTATTTTTTATTATTGTAATTTTATTTTTTAAATTAGGTTTGTTAATTGCTTTGATTATTCCATAGTTTAATTCTTAGATTTAATTTTAAATTAGAATAACACTCCAATCGAACTTACAAGTTAGGATGTCACTCTAGTTTAATTAAGGAGCAATTCGAGTCGAGTTTTCGCATAAGATGCCCGATTACTCAAATCGATTGCTCAACTTTTAAAATTTATTAATAAATAATTTTTTTCAAAAAAATACTTTAAGTTTAATAATTAGGTTTTAATTAGTCCTCAACTTTATAAATTATCAATTTAGGTCCTTAATCTTTTAAATCTTTTAGAAATTGATATTTTTAGAACTTGACCTTTCTAGTCCCCAAATTTCGATTAGAGCCTTAATATTGACATATTTAAATAGGTTAAATAAAGCCTCCACATTTAGTTAGATTTCAATCTAGTCATTTAATTTAAGGAATAATTCGAGTTGGCCCTCGCCTAAATGCTCAAGGGACCATCTCGATTATTCGATCCGAGAATTGATTAAAATCAAATAGGGTTAATAATAGAGCCTACATTTAGGTTTAATCCCTTAGTTTTTTAATTATCATAATTTGACACTTTAAGGCAGAAAAAGCCTTAATTTACTTTTAGTTTAATTAGGATAAATAAAATTTGTTTGATCATTTTTTATTTTTAACCCTAAGACAATGTTCACTTATTAGGGAATTAATGGTATATCTCCCACAAGTATGCTCAAGGGGTGACTACTGGTGATTCCCGAAATAGGTCGACATCATTTTCAAAGATCACAGCATGGTTTTCTAAAAATGAGGCAATATTCGGTTATTAAGCACAATAGCTGATTTCCCGCATATACACTTGCGAGCGAATGTTATCGGTCTCAATAATCGAACACCCTTTTCAACTTTGTATCTGTAACGATTTTCAAATTAAATAAAGATCGAACTCAAAATTTTTTATTTTAAATATAGGGTAATCAACTAGGTACTAATTTTTGGGTGCTTGTGGGGTGCTAATCCTTCCCCATGCGTAACTGACTCCCGAACCCGATTTCTAAATTTTCGCAAACCTTAAAACTCAGTATTTTGATAAAAATAAAATATTTTATTAAAATCACCCGGTTTTCACGATGTCCCAATCGCACCTTAAATGATTGGTGGCGACTCCTCACATTTAGAAAATTCATTTTCAAAGAGAAAACCCCGAGTCGATATCGGTCTTTTCCCCACCCAGGCGAAAAACAGTGTCGACAGCTTGGCGACTCCACTGTGGATGTTTTGCTTTTAAAAAAAACTTGAGAGTCGTGCCACGAGTTGGTTACCCTATATTTAGGATTTTGGGAAATTATGAGTTTGATATTGTTTTAATTTATAGTTCGTTATGTTATTTCAAATAAAAAAGATTTTCTCTCTGGTCAATGCTTACACTTTTGTGAATTTATTTAAGATTGTTGCATATCATATCTCTAAACCCGAGTTCGAACCTGGTTTACCTAAGTAGGGAGAAACGTCACACCTCATGAGGAGCATTGAGCTTCCTTGTGTGGGTCTGATAAAGTATCTCTAGAAAACTTCTAAGTTGCCTACCCGGATATCAGATCCAAGGAACGCTTTTAGTGGTGTGATCCCCTGAGCCGAATCCGATTCGCAAGTCTGTAATGGGTCGGAATTAGAGTCAACCTTAGCAGGTTGTAAAGATGGCTCGGGAACCTTTGCTAGAACACAACCTCATGTAGAGAATTTAGTAAGTATACCCCGCTAGAGCCATATGGATAACCTAGGAGAACTATAACACATGCAGTTAGGACTATTACTTTTCTTTGTATGTTTTTTTCAGTTTCAACTTTGAGTGGAATTTTTTTTATTTTTCCTAAGATTACATTTCTTTGACTAATCATTTCAACTGACTTGATTCTTTTTGTTTCTACTAACATTGATTTCCTTTTGTCTGGTGTTGTTGTATTTTTGCATGAACATGACATATCATTCAAAGGTATCGATCCCTTAAATAAGTGATCGTTTAAAAGGCTCTTGAAAAACAATGCCCACAACAATACCTTTAATTGGGATCGAAAAAGTTTCAGAGTCTACATACTAAGGAGACAAGCCAGACATCTACCTGCTGAGATAACAGTTGGACTCGAGACGATTTAACGTTGAACCCAACAGTTGAAGATCACGAACTAGCTCGAAAGACTTCTGAAAGTAG